AACTTTGGACAAGAATGAGGAAACACATTACATTGTTCAACCATACTTCTTTGTGAAATACACAGGACGCTTGGGAAGCCAGTCAATAAGGAAAAAGAAATACATACAAAAATGCAACTACCTCAACAACATTTTCATACCAAAATAAAACAGTTTTGGACAGTTCATAAACATAAATGCCAACAGGGGAAAGGAAAATTGTGCTTTGTTTAAAACCCAACTTCTAACCTGTTCTGCTACTGATAGAATGCAGCTGCCCATCAGTACCAGCTGAAAAGCCCCAGCTGCAGCACTGGAGACATGGGCATCCAGTTGACACACTTGCCTGCAGTCATTTCCCTGAAAAACCATCTTCAGTGAGACACTGCGCAATTTTGGTTTATCCAGGAAAGCCAGCAAAATTAGGGCCCACAGAAGCACTTGATTGCTTTTTGTATTACTGCCTCTGGGACTATGGAGAACTCTATAACATCAGAATCCAGTCAGTATCACCATGAAGTAAGGAAAAATTTGAAGGCTTAGCAGGTATTATGGTAATGTGTACACTCTGGGAAGAACATAAACGAGATTTAATACTCTTTTAACCATACACAGAGGGAAAATGGGCATGGTCAGTCCAACAGCTCACTTCTCAGTAGATCTAGTAGTCCTGCCTTCAGCAATTATTTGACTGAAATTCTAAAATTCTGCAGCGATTTTATTCCCCAGGACAACATCTTCCACCTTTCCAGTCAGATCTCCTCCTCTTCTTCCTCAAACATTCATATCCACATAGGTATCACTTAGTATGCCTATTAGTTATACAGATCATTTCATTTATAGCTTAAGGCAAGTATTCAGAGGAGCCAGTATGCTTGTTCTGTTTTGATGCTACAGCATTCAAAATAAGCAAACAGCAGCAATATCCTATTATTGCCACATACAAATGGAAATATCCTGAACAACTTCACAAATGAGCCTTCCTTGGTCTCAAGTCATACACTCCCAATTTGCTTTAGCCTTACTGGTTTACAAAGTATTGCAAGTAAAATCAGCAGCTTAAAATAATTTTGTTAATCTAAGTATTGTTAGTTTACACAGCTTATCATGGACAAATACAATACAAACAACAAATGCTAATTGATTTAAATCAGCCCAAGATCCCAGAATTCAGTAAATCAAGTTTTGAGTTTAAGCAGTTTTTGTCAGCAATCTGTCCAACAGAATTTTTTATTTTTTCACTCTTGGCTCGTTATAGGATTTCTGCCCGCTCAAATGGATCCTGTCATTTAAAAGTCATTATAGGAGTCGAGTACTTACAATTCCCAAGTGAACACAACAGTCTTTATAAGTCTATGAGAAATAAACTGTAAGCCTTTAAGTGGAAAGCTGCTATAGTTCAACATACAATTAGAAAATTATCCTCAATGGATCATCACTATTGCATTTAGGCAATGTGGCTTTCAAAAAAAAAGCAGTGTTACAAGGAAAACAAAATGACTACAATAAAGATATATACATGTCTTATAGTAAGACTTGAATAGATGTGACACTGCTGTCCCTCCACCAAACTGGCCAGTAAATCTGACTCCTAATGTAATCAGCAGGAACACTGCATGTTGTAATCCCAGTGTGAAGTTTAGGGTCCCCATGTCCATTTTGCCAGTATGATTACGGAATTGTTTGCTAAATCCCCAATCCTAGATCTAGAGGCAACTCACTGAAACTAGCAGAACAGTTTAAAAGAGGTTGAGAGAGTACTACACTGCAGTAATGAACTTCTGGAACCTGCTGTTACAAGAGACTGTGAAGGCAGACAGCACCAGGAAGGTCAAAAGGTGTTTATTCAAATAGGTTGTCAAAAGATGTATGAACAGATAGTAAAGGAAATAGGCAGGGCTGTAGCCTTTAACATCCTTAATAGAACAACTACAGAGCTAAGCAGGACAAGGAAGTGCTGAGGCTCACATGCTGCTCTAAAGAACAACTCTGGATGTCTAAGGCAGGATACTGGGCTCGATGGCACACTGCTCTGGCCCAGCACTGCATTTCTTACATTCTTATCCTGTAAAAGTGAAATTAACTATCTGGCAATGCAGTTGTTTCAGACTCCACATTTTAAATTAGTTTCAGATAGTCCTGCTTTTAATTTGCAATTTTTTCCCATTGAACTTGACGTTTCTCTCATTGCCAATCCTGAGATTCTCAAAAGAGCTGATCTACAGCAATATGAACCAGAGAGACATGAGAACTACCAAAATTGTGCTTACCTGAATTTAATTGTTTCACAAATAAATATGAATAATAATAATATGGAAAAAATATACAAGCTTGAATTATATTTTTTGTTCTACTATATTACAGAATCACAAAATTTTTGAGTAAAAATACAAGAGATGTTATTTGGTAGACAAAGGGTTTATTCCAACATTTACTACATTTCATATTTCCAATATTATTTAAAACTGGAAAGATTAGATACCAAAAATATGACAGCTCCGAAGAGTTGGAAAGGTATATCAGATCTGTGTTTAGGAAAAAGAATGAAGTTCTTAACATAGCAGGTCTAGTTTCAATAAAGTCAGGATATTTCTCCTGCAAGTTAGACTTAAAAGTTGCATAGACCTTTCCCTAGAGGTTGGAAAGGATGTTATCAGTACTGAAAAACAGTTCTTTCTTCTGGAGAATGATCTCCAGCTAAAAACAATAGTTCTTAGATGGAGCTTTCATATCTTCCTCCAAGCTTCAGCCCATGCATTCAAAGTTCAGGAAGCTTATAGTTTCCATGTGTCTATCAAACTCTGAAAACTATTTTTTCCCTCCTGTCCCAAAACCCTGACTGGCATCAGACTGCATCTTTCAAAAAAATCTTTGCCTGGCTGCTCAGTCAGCTCTTTTAAGGCAACCCACCCCACCTGTGGTGTCAGCTGTCTTAACTTCATACCAGGAAAGAATTCATGAAGGGAACAAAAAAAAAAAAAAAACACTTATCTGAAACAAAACAGATCCTTCACACTCCATTTACAATCACACCCACTTATTTAATCATTTCATATGTAGCACAGGAAGTTTATTATACTACAGAAATCACCTTAAAGAGAGCACAGATCAGTGAAACACTGGTTACTCCTCAGTCAGTCAACTCTCCGTCTGTGTGCTCCCATGTGTTTTCTACAGGCAGGAGCTACTGAAACACGAGGAAATGGCATTCTATTACAGACATACAAAAATCAGTGAAATAGGACACAGTTTGGCGCTTTTACGAGAGGTGAATTACTCTAGAGTCACATACAGAATGAAAGCCATTCTCGGGACAAATAAACAACATTGTGGAATACATAAGTAACAGCTTCATAAACAGCTCACTATACATGGACTGTAATAAAAGCATTGGGACTCAATAAGTCCAGGTTTTCAGCCACAAACTCAATTTTCGAGCTTATTCGGTCCCTCTAAAGCTAATAAAATGAACAGTTTCTGGAAGTAATTTTTCAACTCTCAAATTATAAGCAGCAAATTCTTACATAGGAGAAGGCTTCTGCAAAAGCTGTAACCTATTCAGAGAAACTCTAGATACATATAAGAAATAAAAAGCTATCAATGACTTTTTGACAAAGCTTTGCCTAGCACATTACTATAAAGCAAACAGTGTAATTTTCCTCTAACTGTGCCTTCATATATGTTTTCTGAGATCAAGTTATGGTCAAATTGCCATATAACTGTATTTTCAATTTTCTTCATACATTTTTACAACACTCTCACTTCAGCAGTATTTACCATTATCACTCCCAGCAGTCAAGGTTGTTTGCATAAGGTGTTATTTGCCAAGAACCTGTTACTTGAAAGGAAGACCTCTTCTGTTTGCACAGTAGATTTGTAGGTGGAGAAAAGGAGCCTTGCTGAGAGAAAAGCGGAGGGAACCAACATAATCACATACACATCATCCATAAGTATCTGAGCAAGAATGGAGCAGAAAATGCATGAGGCATCCTTCTCTATGGGACTCAACTACACGCGTAACATACTTTTTTCATAAGTGACAAGAAGAAATAACAGCATGTAATTTCAACTGATTTGTTGTGGAAAGATTGCTCATAAAGCTCCTGCAAGGGCTGGAAGCCTAACAGTAGGCAGACCTACACAGAACTCATGTTATCACACATAAGACACGCCTAAGTGTTTCTAGCCAAACGAGTAAGATACAAATCAATGCAACACTTAACAGCTACCCTCAGGAAGATTAGAGGAATAGGGCTCTGCAAGGAGAAATGCCAAGAGCTACACTGTAAATAGCATGGCTGTATATACCTAACCATGACTTAACTTCAAAATGCCTTAAAAGCTACTGAATGTTCTCAAGCAATGCAGCCTAACATACAGAGAGTACCCAGAACGCAACTGTTAATAATTCATCGTCAAAACAACGGTAGATGGAGAGAGGCTCCACACGACGTGTTCTTAGTTTGGTCCCATTCCATAGCTCAGTCCCTCTCCCAGAGCCTGGAACAAAAGAGTTGCTTCTTCCATTCCCAGACAACACGAAGCTGGGACCAGCCATCAGTACACCACATGCTGGAAATCAAGATGGCCATGACAATGGCTATTTTCCCCCAACAGGGAAAAAGTTTCTGAACAAAATTATGATGTAATTTGACAAAGGACAACTGCACAAAAACAGAGAGGAAGGCTGCTTATTAGACTGCAATCTACTGGAAAGGATCTGATGGTCAACACAGATCAACAAACTCAACATGAATCAGCATAAGGTAGATGCCACACAAGGGGTAATCACCTTCTCAGCAACACTCAGCCTAACTTAGAACACAGCTTTATTAAAGCAGGTTTGGGAATCAGCCTCCCCCAAACAGCTATCACTCCAAATGGATTAATTATCATCGTGGCTGGTATTAGTCAGCAGACAATAATGATCCATGAATATCTATCCTACTCGAATGTTTGTTTCCTTTGCACTGTTAACATCTAGAGTAATACTGAATGTAAGGTACAATGATAGATATGCCAGTGATTTACTGGAGAAAAAGAAAGAGAGTTCTGTTGCTCACTGAAGCATGGTGTTCACAGGACATAATTCCTACTTTAAGGGGAAAAAATACTTCCATATCTGAGGAAGGAAGAGAAATAAGCATTATATTAATTATGAAGAATTGTAAAACTGTGCTCTGAATAAAGAAGGAATATAAAATAAGTCTTGGAGTGAGACTGTACATTTCTGCTGACATCCTAGAGGTCTTGAAAAGCAAGATCACTCATGAAAGCTACTATGCTCCACACAAGAGACATATTCAAGTGCATTCCAAAGGAATCTGAACCTAAAGGCTACTTCAAAAATGCAATGTGAATTATTACGCAATCCCAGTTAGGATCCCTCTAAGCAGAGGCAGCTTGCCAGGGGAGAATTTCACAAAGCCCGAGACCTTGACTGCTACCATGAACCCATGTATTTATCTCAAAGTAAATTTAAGCTTGTGGAGGTAGACCAAGTACAGTTTTTCCTTCGTTTCTTCAGCCATGTTTTACAATGTGTGGTTATGCTATTATATTTAGATATGACAAATAAACGCTTTTATTTCTAGTTTACCTTAACCTGTCTTAACCTAAGGCCCACCTAACCAGCACAGATTCTGGTGTCCACAGGTAAGAAAGGTGCTTCCCATCCCATTGCACAGATTGCATTCTGGCACTGCAGGAATCAGACAGGACCCAAATGTACCAGTGACTCACAACAGCTGAAGAGGCTCTCTGACACGCAACAGGATATTAGGATGCACGCTTATCCCTTGCAACTGTTGGGGTCTAGCTCACAAGCAGACCTGCTGACTGCTTCCCACATAGGAGTTATCCTTACTTACTACTCACTCATGGGAAGTGGACCATGGGCTCTGAAACCTTTGCATTATTTCAAAGGCAGATGTGTGTGCAGAAACAAGCAAGGTAAGTATTCTAATTATTATCAGAATGTAGGCATCTAAAACACATGGAACTTGCACTATTGAAGGAATCAAAACACTTTGTTCAGAATTCTTGAAATCATACTTGAGATTTAAATGCAAACACACTGCATTAAGTAAGCTGTACTGGTTTTGATATTTTTGCTTCTGCTGTGTTTACATTCCTGTTCAATACAGAAAGACTTCAGTCTTATTGCACAGATCCAGGCAGTACTTCAAGCCAACTGATAAATGAGTTAGTGAAAACAGACTAAAATGCTAATGTCCTTTTTACTGTTCTTTACTAGAAATATAAAAATGAGAAAACAACACTAACCCAATAGTTACTTTGGTTTCTTAACCTTAAAAAGAACCCTCTGGTTTTTCTCTTCTGTTTTCGCATTTGTCCAGGACCGGACAGGGAAGATGGCAATTACTGTCAGAGGAGAATTAAAACCTCAGCTATGCCTTCTGCTTACTGCAAAATCCCAAAGATAAATACAAAGTAATCTTCAGAAACAAGTGTTTTGTAATGTTTGTCTGGTAAAATGGAAAGAACTGAATACAATCTCACAGTAAAATTCTGCTGCTGAGAACTCCATTCAAGAAAAGCATTTATGAATGCTAGGTAAGTGACTAAGTAGATATGACTTTTATCTCAATAACTTGTCAAAGTAACTGAATGTGTGTTAAGGTAATTAAATCTTCTCAGTGATAAAGAACTGAAACTTGAAAAGCAAAACTGTAAGTTACACTTCTGTAAGACAAGAATGGTAAGTGAAATACCTTTCATTTTAGAGCAGGTAGTGGTTCTTGCAGTGTTTCCCATTCTAAGAATAAACAGTTTAAATGATAATACTTTAAGTTGTACTTTGGATCAATAAATAACATTTAGATCACAGAGGTTTTCCAATGGCAACTTCTGAAACTACTACATTAATAAAGGTAATTTTTTCTCTTACATGAATAACATTAATAATGTAGTATGACGTTTTCTCTAAATATTAGAATATTGCATTCTTTCCCTACGTTGGCGTTTATTTCACCTATTCAATACTGCATCTGTTTGAAAAATTAAAAGGATATGCTTGGCAACTTTAGGATAAACACTATGACAAATCACACATCCTTGTAAGGTGTATAATTCTCCTGTGAAAATACTTAAATCCATATGCACATGTTTGTGTGAGATAACATTTTTGTAGTACTTTTATGAGGTCTTGGGCTATAAATTAGCTGTGTACTGACCGAGCCTGGAGGGAACATCTTCTAAATTTTAAATACATCCATACTTCTTTAAATCTTTCATCTAGTTTCCCAGAGTTTAAAGGAAAAACAACAAAACCAAACCACTATTTAAGTGGTTCCATCACTGCAGAAACAAAAGCAGAAAATTATGCTAAAATCATACTCCATCACCTGCAAACACCTGAGCCACTGCTTAATCAATATTCTCTTATATATTACTCTCCAACAGATAAAGGCTTTAACACGTTAGGCAGTGTACGGTTTTCATAATGTAGACTTCAAAACTTGCTAAAATCAAATGTTTCCTTTAGGAGGGCCCCAGTAGACTTGGACACATCCAAGAAAAACATTTATATGGCACTGTACTCAACCACCTTCCTCGCCTCTTCTCTTTCCCCTTCTTTCAGGGCCCCATTTCTTTTTGAAATAATGCCACCACTAGGCTGAAAGCAAGTTAAAGTTAAACACAGAGAGGCTAATTAGATAATGAACTTCTGAACTGAACCTAGACATGACTTTCTTTTTGAGGATATGTTATATGCTGGGAGTACACTATACTGATACAGCACTATTCATACTACTCTAGTCTACATGCATAAGTATCTTTTAACAGGGACACTGTTAGATGCACTGTCTGTGTACAGAGAGATGATCATTACCCTAATTTATTGCAACCCACCAGAAAACACCTGGAGTACTAAAGGTAACTTGGCTTAAACAAACTCTAGTCCTGTGAATAGCTCTTGCAAAACAAAGTATGATTTAAGGCAAAACCAGGTCAAGACTGAAACTGGAACAGGCAGGTATCATTTGCTAAACTAGTAACTACCCACCTCTACCCTCTTGGTTTCAGCTGTACCAAAGAGGTACAAATTCTTTACTGTAGGAATGCAGAGAGGGTCACTCCCACAAGTAACTTGACAGAAGAGATAAGTTTTTCACACACACAAAAAAAAAAAAAAACCAACAGAAATTGAAGGCAAAGAGGGCAATCTGGTTAAATTGACACATCATTCAGGAGTCAGCCCATGCTCCTTATCTCCCCTCAATTTTAGCTCCTCCCTGAACTACATCACCTGGAGCTAGAGCTGCAGAGCAGCATGTTCTGAGACCATACAGACAGAACTCACTGATGCTCCATGGGATTCACGGCACAAGCATCTTTCCAGCTTCTGCCAACAGAGCCAGAAAAATGACCAAGCCCTAGAAGTGCAGTGAGTTAACACGGGGAAAAAATGCATAAATAAAAAAGCACATTACTCTCCTTTGTAACAGAGACAACTTCTATTTGAATCATATACCTAAATGATCTACATGTGCCCCTAGAAACAACATAACTTTTTGGTCTATATTTTAGTATTATGGTGCAAAAACTGAACCACCAGTTTCTCTCTGGATGTAACAGAAACCAAATACTATTCTTCTGGCATTCTGCTTAAAAAAAAAAAAAAAAACAAAAAACAAAACAAAAAAAAATTTAAAAAGTTGTATGTAATTTCAAAGAGGTACACCTCTGAGATTAATAGTCTGTCCAAAGAACCTCAAAGAAATATTGCTGCCCTGAAATGCAAAACAAATCAAAGATCAGATCCTGAGTTCAGAAAAGACTGTACTTACTCCTTATTCCTGCTTTTAATGCATGGCTGGTAAAGGACTTTCAGAGCATTCCAGGTCCCCACAGGTCCAGAGGTAGGCATGAAAATATCTCCAAACTGAGTAAAAACACTACGGGAGGAGGAACTTCCTGAAGACTCCACCAGCAATGTGTCAGAATTTAGAAGCCATATCTATAAAACAAAGAAATAATTTATTTTACTGTAGATTACATCAATTTCAATGTCTTGTCTCTGATCCTAAACCATCTGCTATTAAAGCCACATTCTCACAAAGTTTCTAACAAAGTGTTAACAGACATAAATTGACATTTTGTTATTCGGCACAGTCTGCACAGTCTCTAGCAGAGAAAAATGAGTTAATACAATAAACTGATGCCTGATTTATCAGTCATCCTTAAGATCATTATTTCTTCAAAGCTGCCTCTTTTTGTGGCTGCAGCACATTCGCTTTGATAGTAACAAAAGAAACAGTCCCAAGTCATCTGTTTAAGTATCAAGTGGATTGTTTCTCTATTTTTGTAGTTTTTCAGCAAATAGTTGAGCATATGGTATTGAACAACTGAGGGCTAAAGACAGAGAACTGAAAGACTGTCCACTGCAATTGCCAAAACTTAAGGATTTTTAGAAAAAGCATGACAGTTATGACTGGATAGAGCTAAGACATGCAAGGAAAAAGACAACAATTAATGTGGTCTAAAAGGAAGGCTGGGATTTTCAAACGGCTGTAACAGACCCTTACTTGGAAAATAAATCTTTATCAGATTTGATAATGAGGTTGGCATTCTTCAGCACTACTTGCTCACAGCAATTCATGGAATATCTACCAAGGAAAGTTTTGAGAAACCCAAACATTTTGCATCACATTATGGATCTTATTTAATCTTTGTGTGATCGTGTATCAGGGATCCAGGGATTTCATGTTAAGCACTGTACAAAAAAGGCTCTTCTTTTATTCAGAGCCTGCAGTAGTGAAGTGATCCAAGTTACCAATGGAAAAGAATTTTTACAAGTCCTAAGCCTGTATGAAATGTTTATATAGGAAATATTTATCCTAGAAAACAGGATATATACACTGCTGCTCACTAGAGAGTAATCTTCTGCTTCTCATGACCTAATCAGCTTCAGGTAAAACAAGTTACATGATGTTAGGTAACAGACATATAATATCCCCTGTGGAGAGAGAAAACCACTATTAACAGGACACATAGTATATGTAGTAATTGAATGTGACAGTCACAATTTAATAGAGCCCAAGGCTCAGAACATTACAGTGGAAGCTTCATAAAGGAGGAAGGAGATATATTGATAAAGATGTCTTGGGAAGGGATGGGAGGAGGAGAATCACTTTAGCATATGCACATAAATAATGAGAAGCAATTGCACTTGGCCTAGCAAGTGTCTGTTCATCAGTTTTGCTCTGGTAACTCACTGTACACATTCATAGCCTAAACTGCAAAATATACCTCATTAGCTAGGACCATTACACACGGTGCTTTAAGTCAAGTGTTGAAGAGGTATAGAGAAAAGGAAGTGGGGGGGGAAGAGAAGTGTCCTATACAAACAGGCCACTGTCAGCTTAGCTTTAACTAAACAGAGTTCCTTCCTTTTATTAACATTTCCCTATGAAGGAGCCTCCTGGGATGCTTTTCAGAAGGAATATCTTTCAAAACTAGTCTAGGGAACAATGCAGCAATAGTTGTCTGCTTCTTTCAGAATCCTTCTGTAACTGCTTTAGAGAAAGCAATCAAATCATTTCATTTGCAATACAGTCCATCTGAAAAGTACTTCCTTCTATCACAAGTATTGATACATGGCGTCTGACAATAATGTTTTACCACTTGTTCAGAGTATGACTTTGTCTCAACAGCAATGCAACAGATCTGTATTAATAATTTAGCACACAATATAGAGAAAGCAAATTAATCTTTATGGGTAGAAGGACACTTGGCCATGAGAAAATCAATTTCTGAACTACATTTGCTTCTTCAGATAATAATTTCCTTCTTTTCCTCATGGATGAATTATTTGTTGATGTTGCTTTTGGTCTGAATGAACACTCACCAAGACTCGGTGTGTTGACTCAAAGCAGTTTATACACATTATTTCTGGCTAACAGTTTCCAGTTTTGGTCTGTGCTTTCAACTATGTTACTCACAATGTACTATCTTCTCTTCCTCCCTACCACTTCATACAGCAGAGCATGCATGACCCAATTCTTCTCATATTAACTCCAGTAAGAAAAGAACCTTTACATAAAGATAAATATATAAACTTTAGAATTCATTCATAGTGAAGATTGATGACCTTTTCTGAAATGACAGCATCAGAAGAAAGTGCTTGTTATTTTAAATCACCTTGTCAATAGGCTTCAAAGATGTTCTTAGGAGAAAAGCTGCAACAAATCTCAGTTACACTTCATGACACTTGATTGAAGCAGGTGAAATACTATAATTCACATTCTGCGATCAGTTTCCTAAATCTCAATCTGTGTCTCCAGCATCAATTCGAATTTAACATGACTAAAAAAAGCTGTTGTTCTTCCTTGATAGTTCTTTCTTAGCTATTGCAGAGATTACCATTACTTTTGTCATCAGGCAGGTCAGTAATGCAAACATCTACTACAGCTGCTTTGTCCTCACATTCAGAAGATGTGGTTTCCTCCTACTTCACACAGAATAAGCTCTCTAAGAGGGCTGAGTAGCTAAGTCTCAACAAGGTACTCATTATCTCGCATTTTGATCACTTCAACTTCCCCCTCTCCAACATGGACAAATGCAAACTTGTTCTGCTCATGCCCTCCAAGCCATGGTCCAAGAATCAGTATCTGACTGACAGGTCTCTCCCACCTTGTTACATATTTATTTTCTTGGAATATCTTCCCACTCCCTCTCCACTCACTCCTGAAATACAAGCTGACTTGCTCTCAAAGCACTTTACAGGCCAATTCCACTCCAAAAATCATCTTTCATTCACTACTGAAAGACTGGAGTCAGTATTCAAACACTCCAAACTCTACCACATACCTTTTGATTTTCACAGATGTATCTTTTTGGGTTTTATGAGGCTGATCCCATCCATGGGATGAATCCCCTGTATCCATCCACAAAACTACTACTTATTTACCTCTTTCAAACCTGTCCTTTTTTATAGTACAGAAAAAAATGACATCTATTAAGATACTGCTATGCTGACCAATAACATACCGTTTTGCTTGTGTTCTCCTATCTCACTATCCATTTGCTGTCCCCATTCTTAGCTTGTAAGTAACCCTTCAACAGTGGAGCAAAGAGAGGAGGCAAACGATTCATCTTTTAGAGAACGTGAAGAGGGCAGAGATATAGTCAGGATAAATAAGGAAATCTGTACATGCCACTTTTTTTTTTTCCCTTGAGACAAAGAGACTTTTATTTATTGTCATCCTTTAAAAAAAACCAAACTTAAGTAGTATATAGGTTTCAGGAACTTGGTTATCAGCAACTTAAACAACAGAAACTCATGATATCTGCAGATAACATAACTGGTAATGTTAAGTGATACATGCAGAGGAAATAAGGAAAATGAGTATATATATTTGTAGTTTAAAACAATAATTTTAAAAGACCTATGAAAGACCGGAACCTTAATTGTCACATGCACAACCTAAGCTGTGTGCATTCACATATGTAAGCACAAACACTGTGAATGAGAATCTTTGACTCATTGTCAAAACAAACAAGTGGGACAGCTGGTCCATGATGCATCACGGATGAGACCACTTGTCTAACTTGGCTGTGTACTCACAGCCTCAAGCACCTACATTTTTTACTGTTTAGCTCCTTGCAATCATTAATACAAACACTGCTTACATTACATTACACTTGTGTCCAGAAGGCCTCTGAGTCCTAAGACTTAACCCATGACTCCAGTATACCTGTTGGTGTGTATACAGTACTAAGAAGCTCACCCTGGACATGAGTAAGTACTTTCTGATGTTAAACACACAAAAAACTAATAACCCACTAATAAAGAGGAAAGGATGCCAACCAGAAGCCAGCCCCTATGCCAATTCAGCCTGTTTCTCTAACCAATACATTGGTAAAAATGCAACTCGGAGCCAAGAGTAATGGCAGTCTGCTACATAAAGTGATTTTCCTGTTTGAAAATAACCAGTTTGTTCTATGAAATCTACTAGACTTAAGCACTGGAATATTAGGTAACTTGGAAAAAAACATATAAGCTACAAGGAAAAAAAGTCACACCAATTTTTAATGACTCCTCAGTTAGGTTATACATAGTGACAACGTATAGTTGTGACAGTGATGGGTCTGTTCATGAGAACTTATTTTATCATAACAGAAGTAGTATTTCTCAGTGGTTGCATAAATGTTATCTTAGCACTAAAATTTATTTAAAAATTTAAAATTTATTTAAAAGCAACAGATAAACACTCAGAACCTGGATGTTTGGAAATCATAGAACTTGGACAACATATAAACATAAAACAGTTTACGTCATTAGATTGCCTACCTCAACAAAGTGCATCTATAAGTTTATCCAGGAATCTACAAACATGTATTTCTTCCTTTGTGTCTGTGAATTAGTTGTACAAATTGCAAAATTACCAATTCTGTGCCTATATTTAGTTCATCAACAAAAGAAAACATCCCAGGTTATACCATGTGTATAGTATTAAGATAATTCCAGACCCGAATTGCAATCCATCTTAAAAGTTTGAGGAATTTAGCTGTCACTATTTAAATATCAAGCTTAACTAATGTTCTAATGCTGTTAAACTTAAGTATAACAGGCAATTTTATTTTTGTTTGCACTTCACTTTGCAGTGCAATGTATTGACTACATTAGTAGTCTCTGCTGACTTAAGACAATATTTGTGAAAGATTCTATACAATTTGATGAATTTCTGGTGATTAAAGATAAGAAGCATTGGAGCAAGAAGATGAAAAGGTCAAAACTTAAACATTCCATATTTTCTGAATACAAAACACAGTTTTATTTCTGTGCTACTTGTGGTGCATCTGTAGTACTTCCATTGCTATATTATTTCTCCTTCTCATAGCTGGGGGGTAAGGGGGAAGTGAGTGGCTGTGTGGTGCTCGGTTGCCCTCTGAGCTCAAACCACAACAATGTACATCTACTTACATTAAAAAATGGAGAGAAATTTCTTACTTGAACAGAACTCTTCAGAACTACTTCAAGAATTTGAATTTGTTCATTTTCTTTAAACATACAATCAAGAACAGCATAAACAATACATTTTAGGAGCTGGGAATCATAGGCTAAACTTTTTTAGCAGGATAAAGATTAAAAAAAAAAAAAAGAAAAAACTTACCAGAATATAGATTTTTCCATTATTCCCTTTCACAGTGAATCTAAATGTGCTTTTAGCAGAGGACAATTCCACAAGACACTGAGCAACCATGCCCTGTACGAATTGAGACCTGTTTAAGAATTAACCACATATTATATGTTTTCATAACAACTATCAGGGCAAAGTCATTCATATCAATGCAGTACAGATCCACATTGTCAATTCCACTACATCTTACAATCACTTTTGATTCAGAGATAGGGCTTCTTTATCCTTCTCTCCCTCAAAACCAGAGGGCTTTATATTTCCAGCAACAGAACTTTTTTAATCCATCAGCATTCTAAATTGTTCCACATCCTTTATTTTGACCAACACCAAATGTCAGATGCTGAATAAAAGCTTTTCCCTATTACATTTTTACACATATGAACAAAAAGTTAAGAATGATGCACATATTTCAAGTATAATTCACAAAAGGAAAGAACTGTGACTAACGCACAGTACATGATACAAGACAGCTAGATCAAGTTCTGTTTCATCTTAGTCTGTAATTCAAGATGAAATACTTGAAAATTAAAAATCTGACTTCCAGTTAAACATTTCAAGTTTTACTTAATTTAACTTTACATAATGTAACCTTCCATTTCCATAACTAATCACCAGACATCATGCAAACTTAAATAGTTCAAAATAAATAAATATTGTATTTTGGCTTATCACCTGAATAGTGTGACAAATTATACACAATCTCTCTCCTGCATCTCACACAAACACACACAAAGACAAGCAAACAAAATTATACAAGTGGATTCAGACTACATTACTTATTATAATGCTTAATTCTGTGATGATTACATAAAACTTGACAGCACTTTGTTATTATATGTAATTATTCAAGAAACTAAAATGTTAGTGCATTTCTAGCATCCTTTCTAAAACATAAACCTGAGCAAGTTACCTGATTCTTTTTATTTTTATTTGTTACCTTGGTGTTGGGCTGAAACTTTCCTCAGATGGTCGAATTATTACCTCAGTGACATAATATTTAATGGTATCTAAAATGACAAAAACATTTTTCAAGTACAACAGAACAACTGACTTGTTAAGAGTAGACTGTAAGCCACCGTATCACTGTACTAATTAAACTTTTGCTCAGCACTCAATTAAGAGCCAGATGGTCAAATTCTGCTTTAGTTTGTGGGAGGAGAAGCAACCAATAAGAGAAAACATACAATGCCAGAAGAAAACTGCTCTGAGCTAATTACATGATCGGCAATTTGTCGCTCATATTGATCCTTGTTTGATGCTGGAAACAATCATCTTGAAACAAAGCAAGCAAGAGCTCAAGCCAAACCTGAAAGATGAATTGAAAGAACTTTCCTAAAGCACTGAGATCAGCATAGCTTACGTAAGTATTTTAGTACCCTCTGCTGCTCAGTAATGTTGCAGTGAATCACAAGAGACAGTTTTAATAACAGCACACACAGGGGAATAATTTTCTTCTTTGCTCAAAGAGCAGACTAGAACTTCTTTCCAAAAATTGCACTAACTCAACACTATTGCATACATTCTGAGTTTCAATGTAACTCCTCCTCAAAAGCTCCACTAAGACAGCTTTTAACACTAAATGGATGCATTTGAGTACAGAATTCAAACCTCATCAATAAAGTCAGGACAAAAATGATAATATCGAAGCTCTGTGTCTACGCTACAAACACAGCCTAACCAGGGGGCCAGCAGGACAGGTTAAGAATATAGAGTAATAAATTAATTCCATTAAGCCTTAGCATGTGAACAATAGTAAAGTCTCATCAGTTCCATAAATTTTAAGGGTAGAAGGGATTGTCTTATCTGATCTCTGTCCATACACACCCTTAAAACTGAATGAAAGCAAGCATTTCAGGAAGCCAATCTGTTTTAAAGGTTCCAAAGGCTTGGTAATCCCAGTCCTTCTCCAGATAAGTACTACACTTTTTAAAATATCCTCAATGTTAGGAAATTACAATTTACCTCTAAGTTCAATTTTAGTCTGCTCCATGCTGTGCTTAGTCTTGGGAGACAGCAAGAAAAGAAGCCAGTTCAGTCACGCTAGCCCCCCAGCTATTACCCTGAGTAAAGAATTGGTGCTACTGCTGCAAAAGCACTGGGAATTAAAGAGATGTTTGCTTGCAGGGAGATAGAAGGTGGGATTTCCGAAGGAAAAAATCATACGAGTACGTGGGGATAGAGTTGGGGGAAGGAATAGCTGACAGGGGAATTTCAAAGTCAAATCTGGCCTCCACAGCTACACCACTCTAATCCAGCTTTATCTTCAAGGCACTGATATCTGCTCGTGAGGAAGGACCAAAGCATGACAGTCAAGTCTGCTCTCTAGTTTCTTTTCAGAGATGCTTCTGTCTAGACTTATATCATACGTCTCTGGTTAGCTTTTTTTCCTCTGTTCTTTGAAGTCCACATAAATTCCCTACAGTACTGAGGAAACATGGTCAAAACAAAGGACATGTTATCTAGCTTCAGCCATGTAGAGTCCAGACCAAAATCCCTGCACATCTACACAGTACTTGCCTTTTTCCATACACACTGATCACATCAATTATTGGTTGCTACAACTGTCTGAAGGTTTAGATTAAGGCATCCATTATTCATGATGATCTGTGAATTTCTTCTCCAACCATAGCTTTCCTAAAGTCACAATCTGCTTCGTGGGCTTTCAAACATCTTACCTTAAATTTGGTTTTATTAAAGCTTGTGCTTTTCTGATCCTTGTACAGGACAACTGGAACCTTCTGTAACAGAAGACCTTCTGTTGTGCATCTCCTCATGACTTACTTCTCAAACAGGTTTTTTACATTTTCTGAGAAGATTTTATATTCTCCAGATCTCTGAGCTGAGCCAGGCTCACACTGACTAATGCAGTGGAGGGAAAATGAAAGCATGAAAACCCTGCTAGTAACAGTCTTATAATTCCTACTCCCCTGTTAATATCTGCATTTTAAAAACCATCAGAGACTCATCTTTACACTACTTCAGGTAAACCCTGCTGATTCAACATAATGACAGCTTTTAAACCAATAATCTCATCATCTCAATGTCAGATGATGATGAGAGGTAACCTGTTTCTTTGACAAGGTTTCCTTTAAATGAAACCAGGCTGGCTGTCAGCAATCACACCTTTAGCTTCTAGTTCTGTGATGATCAAGTTCTGAATTAACCTTTCTGTTATTCTGTAGGACTGACAGCGAAATGAACAACCTGTAATTTTTCAGGTCTCCTTTTTTACTGGGATTCCTAGTAAACTGTAATCATACATTGAGTCTTCCAAAGCTTTGGAATTAGCCAAATACACCACAGAAACAAGGATCAGGAAAATCCCTGTCATAAATCACTTTCAAGGTCTAACAGTGGAAGCAACAACCTCATCTGTTTCAGAAGGGAATGAGACAAAGACACAGGAATCAGCCCTGCATCTTACTGATAAAATAACTTTCCTCCAGAGTTTTTAACCTGCAATGCTCAGTGGCTGATGCACTGAATTCTAGTTTGGTTTGTACATCCCATACCTGATGATACTGTTTCTCCCAGCATTGTCCTGCAGCGCTTACAAATTACTTTGGTATTTTCCTTTGATTTCTGTAGGACAAAGAAATGTCATTTAAATGTCACTCAGTTATTCTGAAAAGGGAATGTGCAATTTTAACATATTCTCCAGAGTATATAGTGAACTTTGTACTTGTTTCTGTTCTCCTTATGTTTACATACACAGATTTGCATTCACTACTTCAGCTTTCTACACTTCCACTTGCTTGTAAGTTTCATACTAGTTTCCAAATCCAGCAATATATACTGACCCCCCAGCACAGCACAACCTGTAATAGCTAACAGGAGAATCTCATAGTATTGAGTGACTGGATAAAATGACAAGGTAAATTTGATTTTGATAAGCACAAAATAATGCCCATGAAAAGAATTATTCCAAAATATATACATAAAGTATTATGCTGCAATGTGACTACCATCACTCAGTAAAAAGTTCTAGCCACTGTGGACAGTTTTGTAGGAATACCAGTTCAATGTTCAGCAGAGAGTAGAGAATGTCCACAGAGTATTCTGAATTACTAGAAAACAGCTGAAGAACACAACGTAGCATCATATTCCAGAAAGGTGTGGTGGATTCTGTTCTTAAACAACCCCTCTCCTTCAATTCAAGCAGAAACAGAAAAGGTATTGACAAAGAATAAGAATAATTATCAGAGGTGCAAAACAGTTTCCATTTATGGCAAGAGAAGACATGTAGTGGGAGACAGCATGAATGACAGAAAACTTAGGGGTACCATTAAGATATATAAAATCATGAATGTTTAGGAGAAGCTGAAGAGGAAAAAAACATTTACTCTCATAGATCATGCTATGAAATTATAACCTGGTTTGTATCAAAGAAAAGGAAGGTATTTACCACACAATGCGTAATATAGTTTGGTACTCACTACGCAAAAGTATTTTTCGTATTACAAGTATACGTAAGTTCAGAGAGTTTTCAGAAATTCAGGGGAAACGATATTCATCATGGGCTTCTTAAAAAAAAAAAAAAAAACAATGTGGATAACAACATCTAGTTCACGAAGTCTCTACACTGGCCAAAACATCATTCAATACTTGCCTTACTCTTATGCATCCACTACTGAACACTGAAAAAGATACCATTTTTGGATGAGCCTGTGATCTGCCCTAGTAGCACTCCTACAAATTTCAGTGTTAATATTTAAATTCAGTATCAGTATAAAGATACAAGTAAGCACACGTCTTGGTTTGGGCTGAAATAGAGTTAATATTCCTTTTCAGGGACTAGATGAGTGCTGTGTTTTGGATTTAGCTTTGGGTTTGGTATGAGAAGAATGCTGATAGCACACTGGTGTTTTCAGCTGCTACCAAGACTTCAAGGACTCTCCGACTCCCCACGTCCTGCCCGTGTGCCAGGGCACAGGGAGCAGGGAGGGAGCACGGCCACAGCACCTGACCCAAACTGGCCAGTGAAATATTCCATATCATGGCACGTCATGCTCACTGTACAGAGGAGGGGTGGTTGGGAAGGAGCTCTCTGGCTTCTGGAATTGCGATTGTGGGATCTTGGTACCTCGGGGTCGCTGGCCGGGAACGGGCTGGGGATTGGTCAGCGGGTGGGGAGCAATTACGCTGTACATTGCCTGTTTATATATTTCTTTTTGTTTTCCCCCATCATCGTTATTGTTCTCGTTTTATTGCCATTATTAAACTGTTCCTATCTCAGCCTGCGAGTCTCCCTTCACCCCTCTAATCCCCTCCCCCATTCCCAGGTGGGGAGGGGGAAGGGAGCGTGATTAGCTGCGGGGGTTGGTTGCCCATCAGGCCCAAACCACAACAGCACAACTCCTACTTTAATCCAAAATCTAAATTCCAGAACTGGTTCTGTGTGGGCTTATTAACCTGGGTGTAACACAGTACAGCTCTGCTCTGGAAGCAGTATGTATATACAACCACAATGGTGCTCCTGGGTTAATAAACCCTTCTGGAACTACGAAACCTGAAAATGTAATGAGAATACACCTAAATTGGATTTTTATATGTGGTCTTTGTATAATCACCTTTATAATTGTTCATAGAGTATACAGCACATAAAAATACCCATGTGTAATTAAACAACTACTGGTTTATTGGCTTGGTTTATAAGTCTAATCAAGTCACTATCAACTTGAGAAACTGTATTGCTGCACATGCCTACAAAAATAGTATCTAAATTTATCATAAATTAAAAACTCCAAATTTATCTTTTTCTGTAGCCTTTGTAAAAGATGGCGACAGTTCCCATGGATTCCAAATGGAGTGAAAATGCACTCTTCAGGGAGCATAATTCTCCTTCATCACCACTATCACACTCCTTAATATTCAAATTTTAAAATGGATGATGATGTGTCAGACAGATGTCCAGAACAGAAAGTGGTGCTCTGTGGCCTATCACATCACAAAATTATTATAATTAAAAAAAAAAAAAAAAAAAAGCAGCATGAAGTAAATCCAATGGCCCTGGCAATGTCAGGTACACTTCTCATCTTACAAAGGTAAGTTTTGAGATTTGTCCATTACAGGCTGTCTTCAGAACCCTGATTGTGGACTTTCAGACTATGCAGACTTCCAAGCACAATTATCCTAATCAAAAATTTAATAATGCTTTGTTAATTGATTTCTTCTAATTCAGGTGCCTTGAAGGACATGTGGCCTGTGATCAGACTGTTGAAAGACATTATAGACAAGTCAGAGAGACATGCTGGGCCAATTTTTTCAGTTAATCTATGGGAAAGTGGAAGTACTTCCTGCTGCAATGACAGGGAAGGAGTAAACAAGGGAGACAGAGGAGCTATACACAACAGTCTGGATCATTACGTAGGCTGTGCTTAGTCTAACAATCTGCACTAAACTACAGCCAAATGCCAGATCGTATACTCAGGAACAACAAAGCCAGTGATGATAAAATAAAGGAATACATAATGGAAGACAGCAAAAATCAAAAGAATTTAGATGATGGTAGCTAACCAAACCAGAGTTACTTATGAGATGCTACAAAAGAAAGGGCAAATATGATCTCTGAATGCATGAACAACTGACTAGTTGATACAGATAAATAGAAAAATACAAGATTTTCAGAATTAGTAAGATGATTACAGGAAAAATGGATCTATAAAGTATGTTAAAAATTTGGAAAATGGTTTGAAAAACTGCTACAAAAATAATTTATAGAAAATAAATACACCTTAGAGATAAAAAGAGCTACAGAGTTGCAATTCTTAGCATGTTTAATTTAACAAGAAGGCAACAAAGATTCAGGATGATTAACCACTGAAATAGCTTACCAAAGAATGTAATAAAGCTTCTATCATTTGAAGTATTAAATCAGTACTGGACATCTTTCTCAATGATATAGCTCAGACAGAACTGATGGATTTGATGCTGGAAATTCCTAACAGAGCTCTCTGATCTGTACTATGCAAATAATAAAATGAAGAGAAAGGACCACTCTGCATCCACGAAAAACAAGAAGTATCCCACATGGAATTTGAATTAATGATCACAAAGTCCTGCTTGTTCCTCCCAAACCAGGAATCTAAAAGCCCCAGGGAGAGCCTGACTGCCTCTGTTAAAGCTTCAGAGAGCTGACTATGTTGGAAGTACAACCCCCTTGTTATAGAGATCAGAAAAAACACCTGATTCATATATATATAGTCATCCACTTTCCCAATTCTTGCCTTGCTACTCCCCTCAAACATTCACAGTAAAATTACTTGCTAACATGAAGATCAAGGATAACTAAACAGGGTTTTGTGATAACCAGTATTTGAAGTTGGTACAAATAATGCACAGTAAAAGTATATAATATACAGTACTTTCTTGAAAGCTACAACTTGCATGGTTTTTCCTGACTACAGTTACAGGTGCTAGCTGAGAATCGTGCGGTACAGTACCTGACAAACACCGCTAACTCGCTGTATCACGCTTCAACGGAAAAAGCGATAGTTTTAGCTAGACTAATTAAATCAGTATATCTATTTGACAACTTGCAGCTGCTGGTGGATCACCAGCCTAATATTTCCTGTTTCAATTCCTAAGGATCCCTGATATGGTGTCAGGGAAAATATTTTTCCCAAGAGATACTATTAGGATGCTGCAAGACCATGTGACATTTAAAAACTGTGTTACACTGGAAGACTAATAGATGTGAAAAATGTTTGCAATGGACAGATGCTGTCTTGGTCCCACTGGAAGGTGGAAAAGACTGTTTAAGCACCTCTGATACATTCCTGCTACTATTTTGGGCATAGGCAAACACTTTCCAAAGAACTGCAATGCAATTAAAAAAGAACTTTCATACTGGGGCAGACTGCAACAATATTCTCTGAAATGAGAACATTTATGCCAATAGCAATCTATCTTGCCTGTAGCTTTCTATTACTCATACTATGGAAGAATTTTCTGTTTCAGTATGAGAGTTTTTTCCCTTATTAGTCCAGTTTCTGCTCGATATTACAGTTTTGCTCATTCGCTTGGCAACCAAGTGATGATAGAAATAAGCAAACACAGAAATGAGAATTCATTGCAAGTGTGAAAGATGTAGAAAGAGGGATTTGACACAAACAAGGAAAGAATTCAATGAAAGAACAAGAAAGTAAACATGAAAATTTATCACACTAAACTACTATTGTATGCCTTTGACAGAAGATAGCCTCCTCCCTCATTCAAAAGTTCTGCTATGATCCTGGTTTGACCTACATCTCAGTAATATCCTTGCCCCACATCCTTTTATCATGTTTCTGCCTCAAAAACAACCGTTTTCAGGCAAACATTCTCTTTCATTGATTGAAGAAGTGTATTGGGCAGACTGCTACCCTCTCTTTGGGCTGCAATACGAACTCCATGCACCCTGCCTCTTCCTGTCTTTGTTCCCATTGTTCTCAGATCTCTTTTGAGACTAATGAAATGTGAGATAATTCATTTTGGGGACCTCTAGCAGAAGTCACCATCCTCTTTGAAATTCATAATCTTCTGCTCAGTCTCCTTAAGGATACTTAGAAGAAATAACTCCAGTTGCCACAGAGTTAATCCAAATTAATCTGCTTCTCCCATGCTGATACCCTTTCATGGTATCAGTTCTTATTTTCCCCTCTCCATATTCTGCTTTTCAAAGAACAATGGAACAAGAAACCAAAGAGACCACCACTGCAAGACTTGCAGATATGGACCTTAGGGCAAAACTGTTCCTCCAGCAGATGGTTCGCTTGGATGCATTGCACCAGCAACTGTTGAACTGCAAGAATCCTGGTGATTTAACTGGGGATAATACAAATCCCTAATGATGATAGGCAGCAGCAGCAGACAGGAATCAGGGTCTCTGGTGTTACCCCTCAACAGATTAGAAGTTTCATGTTGGGAATCTGTACATAGCAAATCATCAGCTGTTAGAGACACAAGTTGCCAAGGCAGCAACAGTTCCCATAACTGTAGCAGGATTTCAGTAATCAGGTTTAATACACGGTATTGGATGAAAGGATGGTATCTGCAGACCCAATCTTTGTCAGCACAAATACAGACAAGCAGTAGATTAACAGAAAAGACTTTATGGAAATGTAGGCTTTGGTGAACTAAGTTCCTGGATACTCCTCTGGTAGAAGAAAAGATTATTGCTTTAACTTTTATACAACTACTAGATTCCCAAGATGAGTAAAGCATTGTATTTTCTTTCTTCGTGGGTTTTATCCCACCACTGAAACATGAGTATCCCTACAAATGTTTTTTTCCTGCGCAACAACAAATTTTGATGTTTCTAAGCCAAATGATAGCCTTCTTCCTAGAGACTCAGCTGATGGATATATCCCCTCCTGGAACACCTCAGAAACATCAACATGAAGAGGTATTACCTGGGGTGGCAGGGCGCTGTCTCTAGACAGAGCAGTCAAACTCAATATCCTTACTATATTCAGAGAGTGTAACACAGTCACATGTGAACCCAAAACACATTCTGATTTTCCAAGTCTTTCTAAAGCTAAAAAAAAAAGAAGCAAAAAAGAAAAAAAAAAAAAATCACACCTTCCTTTGATCATATTTATGGTTATGCATCCAGTCACAGTTTGAGAAGAACAAGCACTGTTACTCCAGTTTCCTCCTCATTCTTCACTCCAGTACCCTTTGACAAACACCTTATCCATTACAGTTATTATCTTACTAAATGCTGATGTCCTTCACTCGGGATATTTTTGGGGGGAGATATTTGGGTTTAGAACTACATAATTAAATAGTTTCCAATTAAGTTTATAAGAAGAAGTTCTTCTTGCATATCTAGGTCAATAGTAAGACCATGGTGTGTATTTTAGAAAATGTAAATCATAGCTTATAATATTTTCTGGCTTCTGTACATCTGAATGTCAACAACTCCCTATGATCTTCAAAACAGCTCTGCAATACATACAAGTTAAATAAACCAGTGACAGAGTGTTTTACAACGAAAACATCCAAACACATTCATTTTCAAATTATTCAAACAAAATACATTACCAAGTTGGGGCCACTCTGAGAAGCACGGTGTCCAGTTTCTGAGCAGCACATGGGAGACTCAGGCACATGTGATTCATTTCCTGAATTCAACAGAAAAAAAGTGTCTCCAAGAAAACAGTCATCATACTGAGGGTGCAAAGTGCTTCTGGCAAAGGGGTTAGGGTGACAACACCACTCTTCAACTAAAGCACTCCAGTTTTCACTTGGTAGAGGAAGAATTCTGAGAAATTTCCTAAGAGGCAATAAAAAAGAAATATTTCAATATATTATATTCTCTTTTAAGACACTAAAAGAGAGCTTGAACTCCTTACAGAAAGGGGGGGGGGGGGGGGGAAGTATGGCATTTTCTCAAAAGGAAGTCTTGACTCTCAGTCAAAGGCACTTTCTTTGGATGAATTCTGAGAAAGCAATGGCTGAGTGTTTCCTGCCAAGTTTGTGATGAAGCATTTCCCAAGGGTGAATCTCCAATGATTACAAAGCAGAACTTGGCATAATCCTCTCTTGAAATGAATCACATGGCAAAAATAAAACAGTTCTATCCAGTCATGAAGAACAGAACAATGGGAATTTTGCAATTATAATTATTATTACTTCTTGTAAAGTTCCTTTCCACCAAATGTTGATACAAAAACAACAGAAACAGACTGCTGCCACAGCAAGGGAGAGCATGTCCTCTGAAGCCCCTCAAAGTCAGATAACAGATTTTGAAAAAGCTAAATCCAGACAAAAAATACCAGAGTATATTGTCATTAAAAAAAAAAAAAAAAAAAAAAAAAGCATAATGCAATCTTAATTTAGATTCAGATTCAACTGTCAGAATTGACACACAAAGAAACTCAAAATCCCTTCTCCTGGACATCTGTATGCATCAAGGAGGCTGTTCCAGGCAATACCAGACTTTGCTTTCATTATCAGTGTTGCTTTTAACTTACTTTCTTTGGTTACATAACGTGCCGGAGGATTTTATAAGTCAAGGGTTGGAATCACTGCTTTAAGTTATAAAAAATACTTTTCAAGCTAGAATATATACATGTGGCTATATAAATAACAGCTTTAATAGGCTATATAAATAGTAGCTTGATCATTACGAATGAGTGATCAATACTTTCCTGCCTACAGTTCCTGTAGCCATTCTGTGGTCCCACCACGTCTCTTTTTTTAAGAATGCAGAAGTACTGATTGATACTGTCCGCATATTTACACTTGCTTTAATCTGTGTTTTCTAGGAAACTATTGCACTGGGAAGAAATTCAGCCCTTTTACCAAAACAATGGGCAACGGCTTTAATGGTGTGCACCTCTCAGTTTTCTAGATGTACTGCTTGTTACAGACCTCAGCTTTCTGCTCTCTGCCTAGTTTCCTTGAATGCTTTCCTTTCATTCCTTTATTTCTTCTGCTGTTGCCTGAAAACTTTAGATTTTCTTGGTTCTTCTTCTTACTTAAAACTTGCAAATACAACTTTGCTTATGGTGTTACTTTGCAAATAAACACAGAGCTGCTAAGCCAACAGTTAGACACCCTCCGTTTCTTGCAGTTCACAGACTATTCTTTTCTAAAGATGCCAGTTCTTCCCATTGTAGTTTCTTGCGCCTTTTGTACTGTCAGGTGGGTGAAAGCAAAATCTTTTATAAAAACTTCCATTTCTAGACCGACAACACGTTTTAAACTGTGCTTGCCCCACCTGCAGATGAAAGTTGGAATAACTTGTCCTCTGACTCAGCTTTACCGTAAGATCACCTCTCAGCACCACCCATCACTGTCTTCACTCTATGTGGTCTTGTATATCGCCTGAGATAGAACCACAATTCTGCCATGGTGGGACCTTAATTCTGGTGTTGGCCTAATAGCTGATTATTCATCAGCCTTGTACAATTAGTTCCAATGCCTAGACTCACACTGAAAAAAAATAAATCTTCATTCCTATGTATTACTCTTTATGCTACAGCAACAAAAAGCTGGTACTGCTCAGCAATGTTTTTTCAAGTGTTACGTACAGGGGGAAAAAAAAAAAGACAGAAATTACCTTAAGTTGCAAACTAATGCTGTCCAGTTTCATTACATTACCCTTTCTTTACCCTCACAGTCTAGAGCATCAGGATCTTGAATTCTTGCCCAATAAAACCAGTTGCTCTAACCAGTAGAAATTTCCTAAACAGACTCCTCCTAACTTTGACCTAAACAGAAAATACAGCATTTCCACTATATTTTAAGCTTTTCCCATTCATAGGTGGTGTGTTGAGTTTTTATGTGATGGAGTTTTGGTAGTGAGGGAGAGGGCTACAGAGGTGGTTCCTATGAGAAGCTTCTCAAAGCTCCCCAGGCTCCAAATCAGTCCCACCTCTAGCCGAGGCCAAGCCAATTAGTGACTCTGGTTGTGCTTCTGTGATAACATATTTAAGAAGGGGAACCTGGGAGGAGTTGTGAGGGAAATACCTATGCAAACACTGAGGTCAGTGGAAGAAAGGAGGAGGAAAAGAAGGTGGAGGTGTGCTGGAGCAGAGACTCCCCTTCAGTCCGTGGTGAGAGGGCAGGGCCGACCCCTTGCAGCCCACGGAAGATGCCCACCCACAGCCCGTGGAGGACCCCACACCCGAGCAGATGTCTGTGCCTGAAGAAGGCCGTGACTCTGAGGGAAGCCCATGATGGAGCAGTCTATTGCTGGGAGGACTGCAGTCCATGGAAGGGAGCCATGCTGGAGCAGTTCATGAAGAGCTGCAGACTGTGAATAAGACTTAAATTAGAGAAACTCATGGAAGGCTATGTCCCATGAAAGAGACCCCATGGTGGAGCAGGGGAAGAGTGGGAGGAGTCGTCCCCCTCAGGAGGAAGGGGCAGCAGAGAAAACAGGTGATGAACTGACTGCAACCCTCATTCCCTGCCCCCTGTGCTGCTGGGGTGGAGGAGGTAGAGAAATGAGGAGCAAAGCTGAGCCTGGGAAGAAGGGAGGGGTGGGGGGAAGGTGTTTTTAAGATGCGGTTGTATTTCTCACTGTCTTACTCTGTTTGATTGGTAAATTAATTGGTGGCGGTGTTCAAATTAAATTTGTTCTTTCTCTTCCCCAAACGAGTCTGTCTTTTGACCATGACCATAATTGGTGAGTCATCTTTCCCTGTCCTTGTCTTGATCCTTGAGACTTTTTTTTTTTTACTTTCTTTCCCCCAGCCTTGTGGGAGGAAGGAGTGAGGGAGCAGCTGTGTCGTGCTCAGTTGCCTTCTGGGCTTACACTGTGACAGGCAGGAAGCCGTACTCTGGATCATTAGAACTGAAAAAATGTAGCTTTCCAGAAAAACAAACAAAAAAGAAACTTGAAGTTTACTGGGTGCTGACTAACTGGAGGCTGCTAAATACAGTGATAACAGGGGGACTTTCTCCCCAAACCTGCTCCTAATAACATCCGAGTTTCCACTTCAAGATAGTCACCTAGGCTGCCTTCACAGCCAGAATGTGACAAACAATTCTTAGGTCGGGACCTTTAAGAGACACTTTCTCCTTCTGCAAGTGTCTAATATAGTCAGGCTGAATCTCCTTCTGGAGATAGTTCTCTGTCTCCAAACAGAGGAAGCCTAGGTAATTAACTTATTTTTAAAAAGCCTTAAGTGAGGCACTAATCTAAGAGTCTTCTCATAACGATGTAGCTCTTAGATGGGTTTCCATGCTAAATATTTGACCACAGAGATCCTTGTAAGACTGGACCAAGAAAAATAACCTCTAACACCATTATTAACTAATATACAAGAACCGAGTAGTATCATCCCATCTACTGAAAATTCTGAAAACTGGAAGTAAAAGGGACTTTAGATTTTTGCACGTATAACCTTTCTGTTCCACCAGAGAAAAAAAAGAAGAACCAGTTGAATTTCTTTAACAGCAGACTTCCTGAGTTACTTACTAAAAAATCTTGGACAGTCCAGCTTGACAATTAATTGTCATGCTATTTATGTAGGAAAAGTGTAATTAGAAGACTTCCCCTGCCATCAAATAGTATACTTATGTAGTACAAATTCATACATTTGGATTAAGGAAAAGGTTTATTGCTTAATAGTAATTGGCTAGTGAGCTCTCCCTGCTCTTACCTCGACCCAAGAGCTTTTCGCTATATTCTCTCCCCTGTCCAGCTTAGGAGGGAGAGTGATAGAGCAACTTCGGTGGGCACCTGGCATCCAGCCAGGGTCAACCCACTACAAGCCTTGAAGAATTTCATCATGACAGAAATAAAGCCTTAAAGAATTATTTTATATATGAGCTACACTTAGACTAACTGGAAGGAGAGAAAGAAAAAAAACAGCATCCCAAATTCTTCGCAGCTCTTAAATCATGGAAGAAAAAAAAAAAAAATCTAATCACTTCCTCTAATGTGCGGGTAATGGAGAAGAATCAGGGAGTACAACCCTAACCTCTGAAAAGCTATCAGATGCAGGGAAGGAAACAGACTAAGCCAGGGGATTTCAGAAAACGTATGGAGTCCATTTGCTTGCATCAAGGAAGGATCACTTACATTTAAACCATACCTAACATATTTCTCTAATCTAGTCTTTAAAATGATGGCTTCCTATGCAGTCTCTAAGCGTAAAAAATAAGCTTTAGAATAGGTTTGGGTTGTTTTTTTTTAAAAATTGTAACCTAAATTCCTCTTGCTTCAACAGAATATTACTGCTACCTTCTTTGCAGCAACTTGCAATATTGGAAGAGCCTTACATCTTCTCCACCACCTTATCTAAACTAAATCCAATTTATTTAAATTTCTTCTCAAAGGTATAATTTTATAGATCTCAGGTTTTTCTTATTAAAGATCCTTACCTAGTAATTCACACTTTTAGTATGTTCCCCCTCACACAGTTCTGTAACTTTTTTTTTAATCCCACTGCCTGTGCTGCCACTGTCATACTCACTCTCCCTGGAGAGACCAACACATTAATTCTGTAGCTAAAAGTACTGACTATGTTATTGTCTTCCTACTGGAATTGCTGGAATAGGTGGTGTTGGATACACAGGCAGCTCCACTCTGCTATCCTTAACATTTTTTAGTGATAACATTCGAAGGGCTCAAAGGTTCCCTACAAGGAGAAATGCCAAGCAAAGAGCCATGAACATGCCTTCTTTTTCCTTTCTCAAAAATTCTGACTGCGTCACATTATAAGATGCAAAACCAGAAGATGTAAACTCCATGCATGTGAATCTGATGCCTTGAAATTCAGGAAAACACCCACTCAGAGATGAAAATATAAAAGTGCAATATGTTTTGAAAGAAAATGTTACTAACTAGAAATTAGATGTTTCATTACTCTACAAATGTATCGAAATAAGAGTTATCACTAGACTTTCTGATGAGACATTTCAGAAGAGAAAGTCTGGAAATCCTCATTCAGCTACATTCAAGCCAGCTATATATCCATAAGTATGTCAAGAAAGTAACAGGAGTTTACAGAATATACCACGTTTGAAATACTATTTTGAGTATTAGAAGTGACAGAGATCATAAAAGGCTACAAGTGCATCTCTAACAATTCTTGTATATCCAGCTGAAACTGTCAAAATTGTTCAGCAGAAGAGCCAGAAAATGCAGCAGCTTTTTAATAAAATTCTCATTCACTCTGCAGACTTTGTAAGGCACAGAGATAAGGCCGAGTCACACAGCTAAGAAACTGTGTTTCCCAAATTCAGCATCCCTGTACTATGTGGAGGCTGGCTTCACTTAACAGATAGAAAGGAGGTGTGGTCAACATCCCCATTCTGAGCAGCCACTCTGTAACTACAGCAGGATGACTGAAGGGAATTTATAAGAGATTGAGCAGAACTGAAAAGGATCCCTGAAGCTCAGAGGAAGAAAGAAGTCTAGTCTCAAATTTTCAGTTTTAATGCCTTCAACGTAGCAAAGACGTCAGCTACTAATAGACTACGACTATTTTTTAAATCAATGAAAATTATGAACATTTGCAGTATCTCCAGGCCAAGATGTTACATCTTTTTGTTTGTACAGCAAAACCAGGAGCTATTAAGATGAGTTCAAAGAGATTCCTTATGAACAAAAAGCACAGATCTCAAAGCAGAAACGTTACACACGGGGAAGTTCAGCTACGAAAGGAAATGTCTTGCTCAAAGCATAACAGACAAGCAGGAAAAGAATCCAGAATTCCCAGCTTCCAGGGCAATGCACCAAACTCCCTTTGTCAGGTACTTCTACTTTCCAGTAGAAGTGAAATCAAGAATTAAATGAATAAACAGTAAAAATCTGTTTCAGGTGATTTTGCTTTTAGTCATCCGTAGTGCTTCAAAAGTGTTCTCATCTATCAATTCCAAAATAAATACCTTTTATCTGTCTCTCTAAGTACATAAAATAACACAAATACCAATCACTATGGCATTTATTACTATAAATACAAGACACTGCAGTACTCACCGGTCTTTTACTATGATGTCACCACAGGATTGACAGTAAAAGATGTAATTCTTCTGGGGTGTCAGGCTTTCCCTCAAAGTAAAAATCAAATCTATAGATGGAAGAAGACATATTAATCATCAAAAATGTGTAAAATTTTCAGTCACTTGTATAAAAAAATCCCGCCAAATACCTCAAACCAAAAAAGATAAGAATCTATCAAACAAAGCAAAATGCTGACATTTTAAATACAACCTTAATTTATTTACCTGTAGAAGTACTTAGATTGAAGAAAAGTTTGCCATCTCCACCTCATACCTCATATTGCTGAGCAGGAATTGTATACATGAATAATTATTTTAAATCCTCTCCACAAGTGAAGCTGAGATATTGGTACATCCTAATATGTAACACAAAATAGTTGGGGGGGGTGGTGGTGGTGGGGCACTAGTTTTAAATTTTCAGGCAGGTAAGATACCAGCCACTGTTGCACCACTCAACGAATAGATAGTGAGCAATACCCTCTGCAGGCCAGTAAAGCAAAAATGGTCTCACAAAAGCCAGCTCAGACAACTTTTCCAAATTAAAGAAGGAATTATAAAAGCCTCCACAAACATTAGTCAGAAGAAAAGTAAAACTGCAAGCCTAACTCTATATGTTTTGCATTGCCCACTTTCTCAAACTTGAGGCTTTAAGTATATTCTCAGCACTGGCATTCAGTATTTAAGATTTAGGTTGCAACCACAAATGAAAAGCACTTTAAAAGGTTCCAGAATTTCATATAAGAGACAACTAGTTTTGCAAACTAATATAGAACATTAAAGGCTAACTAAGGTTATCCAATATATACATCAATTACCATTTGGTTCACATACATGTTTTTCACTGGTACGACTTTCAAAGGTAAATGTTTAAAACTTCACCTCTGACCTTTTGAAGCATGCCTCATTAATAAGACACACTAAATAATTTTGTATCATTGTATTGTCAAAGCACATGCATAATTACAGATTAACCTACAGAAGCAACCTCAGCATACCATAAAATCAACAGAGTATTTCAGTGTGTTTCTGGTGATGAAATCATTACTATAAATCACATTCTTTATCACTCATTTCTACTTTAAAACCATAGAATGACAATCTTGTGTTATTTAATGTATCTTTCTGTGTCACAACCTACTAAATTATTTGAAATATATTGAGCTTGGATGCTAGAATGAAAGTAACAGTTTTACTACCATACTTCCTATTTATGCAATCATATCCTAGACCTGAATTAGCATGATGGAAATATAAAGGAGGTAACTCTGCAGATGTTACCCACAACATTAACCTTTGCAAACTGAATCTGTGAGAACAAGCCTCCACACAAAATCACAATCTTTATGATGAAATGGCCCGTGACAACCTTACTGCAATAGCCTGGATGAAGCATATTACTGCATTTTCAGCTACCAAACATGGAGCAGGACAGAAAGAAAATAATTTTGAAGTATTATGGGAATAACACGAGGCAGGAACCAAGACCAGTTCTTAAACTCCTACACCAAACACTCACTCAGCAACCGCGATCCCCCCCTTTCGTTACGCTGCGTTCTGCTCTTTTGCTTTTTAAAACTGACAAGTTCATTAAATTTCAGCAGCTCCTGCTTAAAACTTCAATTCAGAGCCGAAAAAGAGATTTTTTAGGAAAAGCAGCAGCACGAGCATGACACAAATCGGTTGCTTTGGGTGTTCTTTTTTTTTTTTTTTTTTTGTGCTGCAGAATCTACACTTTGAAGTCTCCGTCTGCGCGTCACTCGAACCGCTCAGCCCCCGGTAACCCTGAGCAAACCAGCCCGGTTTTTATGGGCCCGTCCCACGCCCCGTGCCCCGCTTACCGTGGCTGGGCGGCGGCGGCGGCGGGCGGCGCACGCGCATGCGCAGGTGCAGGCCCTCGCCGGGGAGGCGGCGCAGGCCGCGACAGGAGGCCGGGGCCAGCCTGACCCCCGCCGGCAGCTCCGCCGCTGCCGCGCCGCTCCCGCTGCTCCTCACCTCCAGCCGGTCCGCGCCCACCGCCACGTCCACCGGCCAGCTCGGGAGGTCCGCCTCGCTGGGGACGCAAAGGCTGACCTCAGACAAGGGGCGGCAGGACGCGGGGCGCCGAGCCCGGGCGAACCGAGCCCCGTGGTCAGCCTGCGGCTGCCCCGGAGACCCGCGCGGTAAGTCCCCCGGGGGCTGAGGAGCGAGCGAGCGAGCGAAATAAACCACCGTTCCCAAGGAAAGCGTTTATTTGCACGGTAACTCGCGCTCTCCCGAGTCGCACAAGAAGGGAAGGGCGCGGGGAGGCGCCGGTGCATAACCCGGTTTCCCACCCCACCCAGCCCCTCGCCGTTTACGGCTAGGGACGCTAAAAGCCAGCCCCCCCCCCCCCCCCCCGCGCCTCGCACGGCCCGAGCAGCGGAAGGCAAGCGGCGCCTCGCCACTACCGGATCACCAGCAACGCGCTCTGCGTCCCCCGCCTGATCTCCAGCAGAAACCCGCCCGCCATGCTGACAAGGGGAACGGCGCCGCCGCTCTGGCGGCGGGCGCCTCTCCCGCCACAGCGCCCCCCTGCGGCTCGGCGGTGGGAAGGCGCCCGCCGCGCCGCCGCCGTGTGGGGTCGGGCCCGCTGCGTCCCGGAGCACCGAGGTCTAAATCCTCTTAATCTGCCCGGGCACAGCCGCCCCGGGGCAGGGCTGGCCTCACGGGCTTTTCTGGTGCCCACGGTGAAGCTCCTGAGTGCCAACGTCTGCCTGTCGTCTCTTGGCCTTCCACCACACCTGTGCTGTGAGGGGCCTCATAGGCACCCTCCCCACAGGCACCTCCCCGAAGCCATCTCGCCTCACAGTGCTCCAGCCCCAACCGTCCTGGTGTCATCCAACCACCTTGGTCCTGTTTACAGACACCTTCCCGGCAAGGGGAGAAGACTGGGCACTATCTCCTAGGTGTGGTCTGTTGAGTGCCAAGCGATGAGGGAGAATCGGTCTCCTTCATCTCCAGGATGCTGTTGGCCCTCGTTGCTGCCAGGGCCAGCTCAGCTTGCTGCCCACCAGGACCTCAGAGCTGCTCCCTGGCGGGGCACTCCTGGTCTCTACTGGAGCCCAGGGTTCATCCTTCCCAGAAGCAGCAGTCCCTCATGATAGCCAGGCTTTGTGACACAGAGACTTCCTTGGGTTGTATCAAAAGACTTCATCCTCTTCCTTACCCTGACCAGGTGGTCTATAACATACTCCCACCAAGATGTCACCCTCACTGGCTTTTCTTCTGATACTGATGTACAAGCTTTGATCCAGCCTATACAAGAGGTCCACATATCCAAGATACTGCTTCTCAGAGAGGGCAGGATCACTGGTGCTCATGTGGATAAATAGCTGGGGCTAGTAGGTTGGGGGACAGGCAGGCCTCAGCACTGTCCTTGCAACGTGTTGGATCCAAGCCCCCAGCAAGCAAAAACCCCAGACAGGCAAGTCAGAGTGGCAGATGGGGTCCTCTGTCCCTCACAGCAGGAGGGAATTGCCCACTGGTCTCACCCACTGCTTTCTCCTGGTGGTGCTGATGTGTCATTCAGGCCTGGCCAGCTGTGGCGCTTCCCCAGATTATCCTTTTTCCCCATTATGTGCTACCAGGGCATGGAGCCTCTATTCCAGTTGCAGATCTACAGATGGAGAAGGAGCTGTTCTTCTGTTGCTAGAAGTCGCAAGCTTACAGCCTTCCCCATCATAGGAAACCCTCCATTTCACTACACCCAACCAGTCTCTAGCTGCCTCTGCTTCTGTGCAGTTTGGGATCTCACTTCTGCAGGGTCTCTGGGAAGACCCTATCAAACTCTTTTTCACCTTCCCTGGTACTGCAGTCTTCTCCTCAAGTTGCTTAGATGACTCCTCAATGACAATGACTCCTCAACACTTCATGCATCCAGCAAGCAAGGGCACCACTTCTGCAGGGTGATCCCTGCCGCCCCAGGGCCGCCGAAACTGCAGCCCCCATTCTAGGTCTGGCTGGGAAGGAGATTCCTCACAGCATCCTGTACAATGCTTTGCTTAGTATTTATAGCCAGTGTTAATAACACACCAATGTTTTAGCTACTGCTGAGCAGTGTTTGCACACTGTCAAGGCCTTCTCAGTGTCTCGCTCTGCTCCCCCTCAGCAAGCAGGGTGGAGGTGGGGAAGAGGTAGGACAGCTGACTCCAACTGACCAGAGAGATATTTCATAGCACATATTGTCATGCTCAGCAATAAGAACTGGGACTGTAGTCATTCCAAAGCAGCCACTGCTTAGAAACTGGCTGGGCATCAGTGGTCTGCTTGCAGGAGGTGGTGATTGTTTTCGTATGTTTCTTTTGTTCCTTTTTCCTTCACTGACTAAACCATCATTGCCTTGACCCACAAATTCTCTTGCTTTTGCTCTTCTGGTTCTCCCCCCATGGAGCAGTGAGCTCACAGCTGGCGGGGTCAAACCACCATGCCTGCAAAGCTCTGTCTGAGCAGCGGCCTCTGCTGAGCCAGGGGCTGGGGGCTCAGTGCTGGGGACTGCGTCCTGTGCTGTGCCACTGCACCACCACCCACCCCCTGCCTTGTGAACACTCCCCTCTCTGCCCTTTCTTCTAACATTACCAAGTCTGCCCAAGTTCCTCCCAATCCACCTTCACCCAGCTTTTGAATGCTGTCACGCTGCTCTCGTACCAAACAGGCCCTCAACACAGGCATCTGCTGCTCAGGGGTGAGGCTTCCCACTGCCTCTCAGGAGGTCTTTTATCAAGAGACTGTGAGCCCGCTTTGACACCCCTGTGTGACTGTCCCATAGCTCATGAGCACTGTCACCACCGCACTCTTCACCCAGCACGCCGATCTCAAAGTATGTAACAGGCTGTTGATGATCTGTATTTGAGAACACCAAGAAAAGAAGCTTTTGCTTTGGAAAAAAAAAACAGTGCTTTGCAGTGATGTGTGTTTACATTCTAGGAAAGTCACAAGACTTCCTGCAATTACAAAGATTTGTTTGAAAACATGATCTGCAAAGCTTCAAACAAAAAGGCAGATTTGTACATTAATTTTATAGCAATTTACTATCTAAGACATAATTACTTTGAAGTAATCTTTGTCCTTGGAGTTGGCAAGACCAAGTAGGTATCTTTGGAGAGTCTCAAGAAAGTAGATGGAGTAAGGTTAGACTTTGTGGGAAAAATATGGCAGACAGTAGTCAGCTACACTGTTTCAAACAAGTTATTCAAGTATTCTGCTGACAACACTCTGCATGCCATACTGAGGGTGGTGTTTTGGGATTCTGTTGTTGCTTGCTTGCTTTTTTAAGGAAGAAAAATATTTAGTCCACGTGGATTTCCCATTACTCATCTCCCATTACTTCACTAAACCAATGTACATATTACAGGTTAAATTGTTCTGAGCAAGCAGGTCACACGTCAAATGTAAAATCCATGTAATTATAGGATAATTGACTCCTAGTATTAGTAAAAGAGCCTCGGGCCCTGACTTTACAAAGGCTTACACAAGGCTACAAAGTTATGAATAATCTTACGTGTTTGCAGGGTGTGCGCTTCATTTATTCAAAACTGTCAACTATAGGTTTCACACCATTTCTGTAGTGAAATAATTACACAGAAATTAAGGTAAATGTCCTACAGAGTGAGTGCTCCTAGCATCAGCAGTGCATGTAGCCCAGTATTTTGACTCCAACATTAGTAAAGGAGATACTATTGAGGAAGAGCTCCTTACTGTGGTCACTTCCCAGTACTTCCCCTGCATCTCATTGTGCTGGGGAGGGTGGAGGGCACAGCTCTGCTCATGTCCTTCCCTTATGGATGTGTTTGCCATCAATATGAATGACGTCTCCTTGAACCTATGGATAGTGCCCAAGACCCCAACCTCTGGTGGCAATACCTTCTAGAAATTTGCAATCTGCTTTGCAGAAAAGCATTTTCTTTACATGTCTCAAAAATGATCATTCACTGTTTTCATGAGGTGCCTCCTCATTCTCATACCATGGGATCTGGCCAATGACAATTTCACATCTTTCACGATTTTGTAAATCTTGATCAATCCTCTCCCCTGCCTTCTCTCTCCATATCAAACCTTCCTGGCCGTTACTGCTCTCGCTGTCAGGCTGCAGCGCCGTCTCTCCCCGGTGCCTTCCCTAACTCCTCTGCATCCTTCTTGAGCAGTGAAGACAAGAATTGATGCAGTAATCAATCTGAGTCTGCACCAGCATTTTAAATAGCAGCCAATTACCTCTATCTCGTTCTCAATATTCTTCCCCATAACATACAATGTTTTGTGGGGGTTTTTTGATTGCCACTGCACATAAAGTTGATGAGACAATTTCAAAGAGCTGTTTGAGAGCTCTGAGTTGCAACTGCCACTACTAAATTCAGCAGAAGGGAAGCTTAGAAATCTAACTGCTTTACAGTGCAGGAACACATGAAGGCATGTAGTTAGTCACTGAGAGTCCCATCACCTCTGTGAAGATCACCATTTTTAAATAGCTCCAAAAGCACCACCAACCCTAGTTAAGAAATAAATCTCAAATGCATTTGTGAGTATCTTAAAAAAAAAATGCATGTAAATGTACCATTTTAGTTGGAAATGCACAACCTGTAGAGTCATACTCGATGGGAATTGTGGGAACAGTGGGAATTGTCAGCTCTCCATAAAGTAACTGTTTCTCATCTACTGAATCCTGGAAGAGTTTAATGAGAAAAGGAATTGCATTTCCTCTTTATTATTATTATCACCAAGTCTGGAGAACAAAATTAAACTTCATAAAATGTAGGCTGATAACAGAAGACATCAAGTAGAAGATTAATAAATATTATGAGATTTTCCCCTGTCAGTGTTTTAGAAATATTTACTTGTCTTCAGACAAAGTCTAAAAGATATATTATATAAGCTGAACGCATGTTTGGTTTGCTGTTTGTTTTTTGTTTTTGTTTTTGTTTTTTTTTTTTTTGCAGTTGCTTAAGTCATTTATAACCATAATGACTGCTAATATGAAGCCTGCTTAAATTTGAGCACCATAAGGATGACTTTGAAACTAAGAGATCGCAGTCTGAGAGCTGTACCCTTCATACTGTGGGACTGATCACTTGAAAATCGCTCCTGCGGTAAAATATTCCTCCAGGATCATCCATGTGGGCACCTCACGCGCCCTTCTGTGTAAGAAGGACTCAAGCCTACTAGTCACAACCAATTTTAGAAAATTCTAGATACAACTAATGTAGTTGACAATATTTTCTAAAGCATCACCTGCTTTCCATTTTCCCTGCACCGTATTTGGTGAACTATGTAAAGATTAGGCAAAATAAATACATATGCTCCTACAGAAACACCTTATTTTTATTTCCGTCAGCGCCCACACCCCCCGCGTCACCCCACTCCCCGTTTCCACCCCCCAGAAGCGGGGGCGGCTCCGTGCCCGCCAGGGGGCGCGCTGCGGCGGGGCGGGGCGGGGCGAGCCGGCGCGGCGCATGCCGGGAGCTGTCAGGGCGGCGCGGGGGGGGGGGGGTGCTGGTGGCGCTGGGCTCTTCCGGCTTGGGTCGCTCAGGTAACGCCGCTTGCACTGGCGCTTCCTCCTCCTCCTCCTCCTCCTCCTCCTCCTCCTCCTCCTCCTCCTCCTCCCGCTCCCGGCGCAGGTAGGCTGCGGGGCCCGACGGCAGCCGCTGTTCCCCCCCGTCGTCGCGCCTCTATCGGGGAGGGCGCCGCAGCCGAGCGGGGTCCGCCCCTGGAGCCGAACCGGCCCTCTCCATCCCCTCCCCGGGCCGGGCCGCGGGCACCGTCAGGGAGGGCGAGGACCGGGCTGGGCCCGAGCTGGCCTGGGGGCCGGGGAGGGGGGCAGGTGCCGAGGAGCCTGGGGGGAGCGGTTAGCCTCTTAATTGCTCCGCAGCAATTAGCATGTGGCACCTGGCTCGCCCCACGGCCGCTCCGTGGGCTGCCCGCCCGCCCGCCCGCCCGAGCGCAGAGCGGGCCCGGGTGCGTTTCGGGGCTGCGGAGCCTCTTCCCCCGCCGTCCCCACCCCGGCACCTGCCGCGGGCGCTGCTGGCGGGGCCGGGGTTCGCCCTTCGCGGCGAGGGGGGGGGACCCCTTCCCGGCTGGGAACAAGCTTCGCGTTGGGCGGCCGGGGCCGTCCCGCTTTGACCTTGAGCACGTAAGGGGCTGTGGGCCTCTTCTGGGTCAGATTCCGGCCGCTGGAGCTGTTGCGTGAGGTGTTTGGAGGGATACGTGGGGCGTACGGCTGTCCGCAGTTTGTGCAGTGCAAGGTTAAATTTCATCTGTTGATGCAGGGATGGCCTTAAGTCTTGTGATGCCCACTTGAAAAGCATAAATATGTGATGGCTTCTGGTGCTAAATGTTTTTTTAGAAATAACATTTGCATAACTGTAATAATCTCCAGAAAAGCCTGAACAATTTATCTCTGTAATTATTAAATAAATCCTAAAATATACTGGCGATGTGGTGCAGGTTTTGATGAGCTTGTTCTGGGTGACTCAACCGTTGTATTTTCATTGCTGATTAGCAAGAACTCTTGTACTCCTGGATCTTTCTATGTGCAGTAATAGTGAATGTGTTACCGTTCTCAGGTTAACTGTGTAATGTGACGCCTGAATTCCAGCTGTAGGCGTGTGAAGTGGTGGGAAGACTCTATCTAAATAGCAATGGGTTAGATGCTTGCAGGATATAAGGGGACTTAATATAAGGTTGAAGATCATAGTCTTTCATTTTGTTGCCAAGCCTTGGTCTGTCTGTGTTATCTGTGTTAAATGCTTGTGTTATCTGTGTTAAATACTTATGCTGGCCTGGCTGTCAGATTTGCCTTTTTTTTTTTTTTTTTTTTTTTAAAATATTGGCAACTTCAAAAACAGGCAGAAATACAGTAAACCTTGTGCAGGTCTAATAATACCGTGATGTCTAAATATTGTGATTATCGACAATATACAGTCATTTTTAATGTAACATGGATGAATGTCATGTGGAGGAATGTCCGTTTGGAAACAGACGGAACATCGACAATATAATTCCTGATTTAGTTTTAACTGAAATGAGAATAGGCACTTTCAGAGACTAAGCAGCCTGTAAGTGAGAGATGAGGAAGAACAGGCTGCATTTCTAACTTACTGAATGTCTGTCTTTCCCAACTTGTTGGTAGCACCTGTGACAGTAGGTGTTTAAACAGCATCTTGCAAAGACAAGTTATCCTGCATCTTCCATTAGTGGAGTGGCTCTGCCTTCAACTGGATGGTTATGTTCACAAGTTAGGCCGTGTTTGTCCTGAAAGTGCCTTTCTTGTGTAAAAATACAGGTGTGCTACGCTGACCACTAGAAATGCTTACCACATGCACAGCACGCCGCAGGGGTAAGAATGTGGTCTCTCTGGTGTAAGTGGGCTCAGCCTGTATTCTACCATTGTTCTCCCTTTGAATAAGGGGAGGACACTTCCATGTGTTCATCGCTGCCTTAGTTCTCCTGACCAGGGTTACTGCTGTCCAGCTTTAGCATCTTCTTGCTTACCTGGGAATGACTGGGCTGAGCTGACTGAAGATGCTGGTTAGTGTTCTATTTTTTTTTTTTTCCCTTTTGACTGTGGTGGAGCTGTATTCTATTATATGTGCGGTGTGTAGAGAACAGAGATGAGGTAGGGAGTATGTTCTAAAAAAACCCGTTTTGGACATTGTTGGGAAAAATTGGAGATAGAAAAGAGACTAAACTAAATGATACCTGCTAAAGCATGAAATAGAAAACTGAAAGTAATTTATTTGTATGCACATAAATTGTCTTTCAGATTAATAATCAAGTTGCCTTGAATTGTAGCTGAAAAGGCGTTGAATGATAAATAGAAACAGTAAGCGATACGTTTCCCTCTGAGAGTTTGGGGAGAGGAAACACTCACTGCAGGATCAACCATTTTTCCTCAATAACTGAAACAAGAAATGAGAAGAAAGCACCAAAGAGACTCAGTAAATGATTTCACTAGTCAAGACATCCCTGCTTTTTTCAGAAACTTGTACTTCAATATAAGCATAAAAAAAATTATATAAAGCTGAGGAATGGTGCTCTGACTAATTTGGTTTCTAGTGTCATTTGAAGAAATCAAAGAGAATGTAACCTTATAATGTTTTTGTGGCTTGATTCTGAGGATAAGGAGAGCAAACAAGTTTTGGTCGAACCACTGTTTGCAGAACAGTCAGAAAGGGATTCTGCTGTACAAATTCCTTTGAAATCCATCTGTAGAATATGTGAATTCAGATGCATTGCAAAATCTAACCAAAATCTAGATAATGTGTAGGTATATATATGACATATGTCACTATTCCAGAATTAAAATCAGAATAAAATGATAAAAATGAGTTGAAATTTCAAATTAATAAATTAATAATCTTAGGACCTCAGGCTATAACAAAAAAGGAAGTTGGACAAAGTCATGCCTAAATGCATTGTATTAAAAGGTTACCCGAGTAAGGCAATGACAAGGAGACAGAATGTTAAACTTGCCTGAAGCTACATATTTTTGGAATGATGGGTATGGATGAATAAAAGGTTCATCTAAATCTTTAATTTTAAAGTTATTGTGAGCAAAGATTAAATGAATCAATTATCAGGCCACCATTAGTTGTTTTGTTTGTTTGTTTGTTTTGTTTGTTTGTTTTGCTTGTTTTTGTTTTTTGTTTTGTTGTTCTTTTTTTTTTTTTTTAAGTTGATAGATTCTGTGTTAAACCATATATCAGAATATTTAGAGATGTCACAATGTGAAGGCACAGCATTACCCTGGAAGCAAGGCTTCTCTCTCAGCAAAGTGCTGCAAGCATAGTCAGTGAAGCTCACGTAAGTCCATTCTGTCTACCAAGCTGGAAGTTGGCACAATCTCCTTTAAAGCAAAGTGTAGTACAAATCTAGGTTTAAACATAGTCATACTGGTTTGAGTTGTTTTCCAGTGTTATGTTTGCTATGGCTTTTTTTGTTTGTTTACTTTAACTGTATTACTATGTTAATTGGATTTACTAGTTTGCTGAGAGTGAAAAATAAGCAAGAGAAAGAATACCTCAAGATAAGTGTTTCATCAACAAGTACTTGGAAAAGATCAGAAGGAGAGGTAGGTAGTTAATTATTTTCAGAGAGGGTATAGCGACCGTTTGAAGGCATGAAGCTGAAACATTTAAAAGTGAAAATAAATTGCAGTTTATTTTAGAAAGCTTGTCTTGTTACTGTGCTCAGACAGCTGGAGAGAAGGGAACTATTTGAAATCATGTACTTGCCTGTCAGTCATTGCTCCGTGGAGAGGGCAGTAGCCCCAAAGCCCAGTCAATGTGTGTGAGAGCTGGGCAGTTCCCCGGTGGGGCAGGAAAAGCACGAAGCTCACAGTGCAGACGGGATATACAGGAGCCACGGGGAGGGTGCGGTTGCACGCACACCAGAACATGCTTGTTTTCTCTTTACTAATGATTTTTCCAACCTACGAAACTTGTGTAGTTACCATGGATTTAGCTAGGTCAGGTAAATACCTTCTGTATTCCGTTTGGAGTAATCTAAATGGCCTTATTTCTAATATGCAGGCTCAGGATCTTTTTATGAAGTTGAGGGAACTAACTGTGTGAAGTTGCAGGTTTGACTGTGGATAGCTGAAAAAGGCCCTACCAACCCAGGGCACAAGCCAACCTTTTTCAGAATGGCAGCAGTTTGTTTTGGTCGAGGGAACTGTAGGTGATACACTATATGCAATGTTATACTTAATTTCTGAGTGAGGATTTTGTGATTTTGTTTGGCTTGGCATTGTCTGTGACTGGCTGACTCAAGGAGGCTACATATATAAAAAAACAACCAAACAAACAAAAAAAAACAAAACAAAACCAAAGTGTAACTGTTACATTCTGCATTTGGGATTGTTGGGACGTCAGCCTGGAGACCAAAATGAAGATTATTAAAAAAATGCCTTTACCCAGATTGTTTACCTTTCTTTGACATATGCATTGCTGCTATAATTTAAATTGGGTATAAAGATGGTAACTCTGTGAGCTGAGATGAAGTTTAAGGAGGAAATCCTTTACAAACACGTCAAAAGAGTGCAGGTTAAATTCTAGCTTGGTTTTTAATTTCCTTCAAATGTGTAATTGAATAAGACAGAAGTAGTGACCACTTCTAGATCTAGGTTGAAATATTGCTTGTTCAGATTGTTCAAATACAGTGGTCAACAAAGGGAACAAGGGGACAAGAAAAGTTACTTGTAAGTGAACATTGAAGGATAACCATGAATTCCAGGAAGCATGTCCCCATTTTTCTCTTATGTTGTGTTCTGACTTAAA